CCTTTGACGTCCTCGTCCATGTAGTTCGCGTACCGCTCCGCTAACCTCTCGGGACTGTAATCTTCATCCGAGAACACGGGTGTCCACGTGCGTCTCACACCTGCTTCTTCCATGGCTTGGATCCAGCCCGGCCTAAAGTCTTGCTTGCCGCTGCCATCGTCGCCGACGATGCCGGCCCAGCCTTTTTCTACTTCGGGCTTGCTGCGGAGGTCGAAGACGTGGCCTACGCCAATATCGCGAACGGCGGTCCAGCCGGCGGTGTCTAATTTGGCCACTTCGGCGCTGCGAAAGAGGATGCCTGGGCGGAGGGTGGTGCCGGATGTGGTGGTGAGGGAGTGGGTGGCTAGGCGAAGGTTGTTGATGTTGGGGATGTGCGTGTAGAAGGGTGGGGAGGGGAGCGTGGGGTTTTCCGCGGATGTCATGGTGATGTGGATGCGATTGTGGATGTGTAGTCGACTTTTTGTAATTGACTCGTTGATAGTATAATGCTGTTCCCTAAGTTGGGCTTTGTGGGAGTGGTATAGATGTAGACGGATTACTCGGTGTGAATAGCTGGTGGTGTGAACGGTTTCAGTTCAAGGATATGAAGTGCCACATGTCAACGGCACAGCTACTAATGCAAGGGGGAGCCTTCACAACACGTGTTCGGTTGGACTTTTGGTTGGTAGTCTTTTGTTTGGGAACAACGTGTGTGATGTGTAAACATCAGCCCCACCATCCCACTCACACTAGCTATGTGCCGAGGTCTAGAGCAGGAAGAGTGAACATGGTACCTACGCGGCGTAGTCGAGCATGATTCGTAATCTACGCCCTCTTTGAACGTACTGTCAACATATCTTGTCGGCTCTATCTTGAGAGAAGCCAAAAGGTGCGCCAGAAGCCGAAAGATGTGTTCCCGTGTTGTTTGCTCGCGCGTTTGTTCGGTAGACAGATAAGTCTGCAGGCTTATTATAACCATCATCCGGTCTCCCCTTTCCAGTTCATTATGGTCTGAAACTGATGCCAAAAATTACTCTTCTCTGGTTTCTCCCTAATCGCGCATATTGGGTCATCGCGTAACTGCGGTAGAAATTGCTGTGTAACGTGCGTGTGCTGTTCACTTCCCTCTTCACCCCACTCGGTGCGCATTTCGACTATTCTCTCTTTGTGTCTCTGCTTCATACGCTCTAGCCGCGCATCATGTTCTGTAAACGCTCTCTGAAGCTTCTCGCATGTAGGCGGAGGTACTTCCCTCAAGTCATGTAGTTCATCGTCGATTGATACATAGTGCAAGGTTCATTGGCCTGGTTGCTCGAATCGAAGACCACAATTGGTCACAGGGCATACACATGGCGATTTCACAGTATGCAGATAGTAGGCTTCTCTGGCCTGTATCGATAGTAGCTTCCGGGCATCAATCATATATTCGTAAGGCTCGATCTCGTCGTGAAGCCAACGCCACCATTTGCCCACGGGTCCCGATCGTTCCTGAATTGGTGAGAATACGAGTCGCGGTATTTCCGCGGGCTCGACCAACTCCCAAGCTACTAACTTATCAATAGACATAGTCGCCTGCCAGAGCTTTCTCGACCTGTGACGCTTGCGATCATCGTAGTCAACATGAAAGTTCGACACGCGTACATGGGTGCCACTGGGCATCCTTTTGCCAGTCGAGTCAGTGCTTCGGAAGGCTCTGTCCCAGGTTCGAGAACACAGTTGGTATGTAGCACAACGCTCACAGCACAGGTAAACCACGTGCGCAGTACCCGCCAGAACGCAGCTATCTGGTGTCCTGCATAGGATCTCGCTTCTTCCTCATTTAGAAACTTAATTTGCCGCAGTACAAGATCTACGTAGTCACTATAAAGGGTGGTATGTGAATCCCTCAGCCCGATGAGAATGTATTGGATGTACTTGTGAGCCTCGAGGGCGGCATGTGTGAGGCCCGTATATCCGCCGGAGAGTAACCAAGAGCCCTGTATGCGATACTCCACGGCAGGATCAGACCAGAAGAGTCTGGCTGCTTCTTTGCGCGTGGCAGATGACGCACCGTAAGCTAAAAGAGGGTTGCGTTGTCGCAAAACGATAGTATATGGTGCTGAAGCTCTAACGGCAGGCGTAGAAAGCATGTGAAATTGTCGAGCGGGAAACGCATCATTATTTCTCCTAGACGGACGTAGTGTCGTAATGGTACACGTATTCGCCGTGGAGTATCGCGCATAGATCCCAATTCAAGGACGTGGTCCACGGGCCTTTGGGCACAATCGTGGGTCGGGTTCTGTAAGAACCCATGCTGAGCGGACGAAGTTGGATAGTAGTTTGAATCAGAGAGGCTTGCTTTTCTCGATCGAGAGTATGTGGTTGTTGGCAGTGCCTGGGCGGTGTTGCTGTTGTTATCATGATAGATTGGTCCCTATGCTAAGCTGTCCACAAGCGATCTAGTGTCTGGACACCAGTGCACTGCCATGCAGATGCATAGGACTACGGCACTATCGCGAGTCCGTATGTTTACCTATCGCCCATGGAATATGTACATTCTGATATATTTACTCCACAGAAGTCATCCAGTCGCGCATCCGACCTCAGTCGACAAGAGCAGTCCAGACTCGTCCAGGAGATGTGTGCTGCTGTACTGCATGGCTCTTGAAGTAGAAAGTCGGATTCGTTTGGGATCGTGCTAATAGGTTGACGCTTAAATATTCTAGTTGTGAGGGGTGTGCTGTGTTGTGAAAGTGTCACTTTCCGCAAGTTTTACTGTGCCCGAAAGCGACAGGGATGTTCGACTGGAGGGACTTTTCTATCGACTTATAATGCGAACTGGAGAAGCCGAAAAGAGGTCTACGTTTGTCACGCACTCGGGAGAGACGCCTTTCTCTCTTCAATCGCTAGCATGTCGCAAGTGCTGGGGGATTATCGCGCGCCGTGGACGAGAACCGTGGTCGTGTTGTCGGCGTGAGGTTGTGTGTTGAGCGTCGTACAAACGAGCTGCTATCGCGGTGGTTCTAGATCCGCCTGGATTGACTACGCAGCCATAAAAAGGCCTGTCGTCATATTGAGACGTTTAAGGCGAGTGCATAGTTTGTTGTCGTCGTTGAAGGATGTTCGTACGCGTCGCGTGGAAGGACTGCTTAGCTCGCTTATGACATTCACTGCCTAGATCGCTCATTGGACACCTTACCATCACTCGGCACATGTCACTCGAACGTGTGATATCTGACAGCTGGGATAGCCGTTGCGTATGGACATAGCATGTAACTGTAGTAGTTGTAATCAGCCCGTCGCTGACGGGTCATCGCAAACGAACCATGACGTTTTCACCACGCTAGCCGCAACCGCAGTGTCCAAATCCCCAGACACGCGCCCGCACCCCGCAAAGACGTCATTCTACCATGCAACTCTGATGAAACGCGTTTCTCATGCAGTCCACAGCGCACGTACTGCTTTTTCCATCCCCTTCTGTCGACGCTCAACCCCCGGAGATGGCTCCGCTGAATCGATGACGCATCATCTCGCGCGCATTGACGATAACCTTGGAACCTGATGTTGGCCTAGCACCAAATGTCTAAATATCATGGAGGATGGAAACAAACTACCAATCATTCCTCCACACTCAATTACACTTAGCATCTACATCTATGTGATTCAATATGCCGCTACTTCGCTTTACAAAGCCGCGAGTCGCCTCTGCTACAGGCACTACTATACAGGGCTCGAAATGTTCTCGTAGCGCTAGGCCGATTCCACTGCGGAATGGCGCGCAGAGCAGGCAGTATGCCAGCGAGCCCATCATTCCCAAGGTGCAGAATAGCGATTTCACATTGTAGGTTCAACGTCGTCGTAACAATCCTCCGGAGCTCCAGATAACGTGTATCCTCTAGTAAGTTCGCAGGTGTAGCCATGGCCTTCACCGGCGGTCTTTATTTCGCTATAAATTCAGATCTGCGTCCCTCGTCAAAGCAGAATCTTGCGGCCAACCTTCAACCGCATCCAACCATGCCAGGCAAGATGGCCGGCGAGAACGAGGAAAACATGCGCAGCCACAAGATCACTATGAAAGGCGATCCCAGCGCACCTGGTGCTGGCAGGCCGGACCCAAATGAAGAGTTGGGTCCGAAAGCTATGGGTCACGGGGCAGCACCTTCACATGTAGCCGATCCGGTTCGTACAGGATGTAACCTTTTTTTCCCACTTCTTGATTGCTAAGTAACACCACAGGCCGATCCCCGCGGAAAACCCAGGAGCTTCAACTACATGTCTGGAAAGCAAGAGGGTTTGTCCAATGGTGACACCCACCACAGCTCCCAGATTTCCAAGCAGGGCGAGATGAGTAAGAAGGGTGAGGGTGTGGCTGAGACTGCGAAGCTCAAAGGTACGGTGTCGACCAAGCGACCTGGTCCTGAGAATAAGGAACAGCGAGGCAAGGCGCAAATGGATGATGAGTAGCGAATGTAGTTGATCATCGCCCTTGCTGTCGTTTGATGGGAGGAGGAAATGGATTAGAGAGAGTAGCAAACTGTAGTCAGATAAACAGGCACTCCAATACCGTACCAGCAAAGACACCTCACTAGGCCGTATGACTTTCGCGCATTGTCAGATCACGTGTCGATTGGGAGTCTCGGCTTCATCGTATCTCAACCAAGATCTGCAATGTGAGAGCCACCATATTATTAGTTTTGGACTCCTACTCGTACAACCCGTGCCATGCCATGCCAACGCACACTGGTCAGCAGTTTGACCCATCCCCATCACCCGATAACACCATAAACAATAGCAGATAACCACCCAAGTTGTTTTCAACTTTTTGTAAGGAAACGAGCTTTTGACCTCCTACCAGAGGAGGAGCAGGAAGAGCTTTTAATCGTCGTCGCCAGATTGAGGAGAAAAGGAAAGGAAAGATGGTACGCCGTGATCGCCATCGTGAGGTATCGTACAGGACATGAAGAAGCCGGAAGAAATCGGAAGAGGTAGGTGCAACGCCGTGCAAGTTATCCGAAGGAAAAGGAAGACATGGAAAGACGTGTTCAACCGGACGTATCGTTCTTCAGGACGGCAGCAGGGGGAGCCTGAAGTGTGTCGGGTGATGGCGCTGTTGTCATCGAGGTGAATATGGGCGTCAATGTGGTTGTCGATGTCGATGCGGGAGTCGCAGTCGCCTCGGTGGCATCAATGCGTTCCTCTTGGGTTGTGGATGGTTTCCCGGTCGCCTTCTCAGCTGTACCAGCATCATACTCTCCACCTCCAATGGTCGTCTTCTTCTCACACCCCGTCTCAACATCAACAAACGTCTCCTCACTCCCACACCTCGGCAACTTCTTGCCGCTGTTCTCAGCAACGTATTCGTCGTACGTCTTGCCCGCCTTCTTAGCTTCCTTGCGCACATGTCTGACACGCCATAGCCAGACCGCTTGGCTTGCAAAGATGCCCGTCTCGAGGACCATGCAGGCGATGTATAGACTGGCACCGAGAGCATCGAACCATTGCTGCGCGACGACGGCCATGAGGGAGAAGAAGGCGCCGAGGTAGTCGATGGTGAGGAACCAGAAGTCGATGCCAATGACGCGGCCGTTGCGCTTGGCGAGCTCGAAGTAAGGCGGGATTAGGCCGATGACTTGGATTACGGAGGCGGAGATTGCCATTAGCATCATGGGCCATTCGACACCGCGGCTATATGGTCCCTGTACGGTACACTGTCAGTCACTCTCGACTAAATGGAGATCTGCGGGCTTGACTTACGCGCAGTGTAAGAATGAGGATGAGTTCCATAATACCGAAGCTAGCTGCAAGAGCGATGGTCGCGAGAGTAGCTGTCCAGACCCGCCATTTGTTGTGGTAGTAGAGTGTTTGGCCCCATGCGATGAGGGTGAGACTGGCGAAAGCTTGAGGTTGGAATTGGAGGGCGAAGTTGAAGTTCTAATCACACGTAAATAAAAGGTAGGACGGAGTGCGCGGTGGGTGTTAGCATACCTGAACAATCGCGTATACACCAAACGGTACGCCGCCTGCATCCTGTGGTTAGCTGAGTCGACCAGGCTCGTTCATGTGGGGTGTCGCACAGATTGACCAGAGTATCAGCATGGTACCGGGAAGGCCTTCGGTGCTCTTCCGCCGCCAGTTGGTCCATATTCTTCGGTAAAGTCAGCGAACTGTCGTGTGCGATGTTGATGCGGGTGACACTTACTGTGGGATGATTTGTATACACCAGCAGCTGCATTCGGACCTTTGTTAGCATTTGCTTCGTGGGGTCAAGGGCTTGACGTGGGGTTGCATACACTTTACTCAAGTTAGCATAGTCCTTAGCCACCAAACGTTCGGAGGTACTCACCAGTGCCGAGGGTCTAGAGAACCAGATCGTATGTCAGTATCATGACTCAAGTCAAAAACGTGGGTGGAGCAGAGAAACCTACACCAAGGATATTCGCAGCCTAGCGTTTGGGGTCAGTATGTTGTAGCAGTATGCGATATTGACGGTACTACTCACGGGTGGTATCGAAACTTGCGGTCTGTCCATGGCTTTGGAAGAGTACTCTCACTACGTCTTGGATGATAAGAAGTGGTGAAGAGGTGTAAAGCTCAGTGCGTGGGAAGATGGAAGATGGTGAAAAGAGAGGCCCAGGTGAGACAAGATGTACGATTAAGAAGCCAACTAAAAGGAAGTGTAGAGATGTGAGTTTACGTGATCTGGTGGCGTTTCACGTCGCACCAGGTGTAGTATGTACTATCGCTCTGGTACCTGGTTCGAGTAAAGGAGGAAGAAGTAGCTAAACGACTTCACCAATGGTAGGATGAGGAAGCGGGAGGGTTGTACAAAAGAAAGTTTCCAACTAATGACAGAGCAGTCGGTTACGCCAGCACCGGCACCCAGGTGAAGGCGAAAGTGGTACCCGCTCACACCAGGCAACATGTTGTGCGTGATGACGGAACTGTCAGAGGGTCCCATTTTACTAGCTCTACCGCCGCAGTCGCGTGCAAGAATAAGTCGGCTGGTCATACCAGTGCACAATGGCCTTGGATAGAACGATTTAGACTAGGCAGCTAGTGAGATTTCAGCTTTCGGGGAAGTCATGCCCCTGCTCCCGGCGCTGAAGAGCGACTCCGTTCAGACTCGGTAAGAGGTGAGTGGCTGAGCTAGCGTACACAGGGATACTTTTCCTTCCCCAGCCGATCTGCAATCCGATTGGCGAGTCTAGACTTTTCGCTGAACGCATCTATCCTCATATGAGGAAATGGGTCCCACTCCATCTCGATGCAGACGTTGAAGGGGGTGGGTGACGAAACCCCCGGTATTGCATGCATACAAGGCTCGGTCGGATGCTGGGTCCCTGCATTGAGCGACGAAGAAAGAACACCTGGTGGCCACTTGGTAAACCCAATCGCTCACAGCCGGGACAGTTCTGTAGACTACGGAGTAATGCACATCGAAGAGGGTAAAGTTAATCTGCATCCAATGAATAACCTTGTAGATGTATTTCCGGATGTGGTCGTGCGTAGACTACCGCCGCGCTCCAAGCGGCTCACGCGAACATCAATCCTGACTGGCCTCAAGGACAGTCCGTCAATCTTCGTTTTGATGAGGTGACTTCGATCCTCCGGTGAGCTCGGCGAGCGCGTGCCCGGCTACTGTGCATTCCTGCACACTGACGGACGTTCCTGAAAACTCTGAAGGTGGGTAGCTGACGTGCGGTTGGCGGCTGTGTTGAGACCTGCATCACCTGGCATTCCCGAACCACGCCGGTGGGACCCCGCCTGCATAAGATGGCGTCAACCGGATTTATGATTCGATCCTGTATACAGTACAACTGGATTCAGCTAGTAGGAGGCTCTGCTTTCCCCATCCGAGCGTGTGTCTAGTCCTCGGTTCCTGGCGCCTCGCAGCAGTCTGCAGTAGCTGATGATGAACAAGTGGTGGCCGACATGTAAGGTCAACTAGCCAGCTACTACACGCTCAACGCTGTTGCAGACGCGGCACAAAAGGAGTGCACATGCTGCTCTCCTGAGTAGCACAGCCGGGAAGGCGTGTCGCGAGGGACGATAGAGTTCGCAGCTTTCGCGGCAGCTGATAGGCAGTGGGTCGTTAGTAGCCAGCTGAACCGGCAAATCGCCGCCTCGGTCCCAAAGAATATTTTGAGTCATTGCGTCGACATCCGAACACAATAACGACAGCCGCGCACTGCGCGGTTATGATGATAATGGTTGTACATCTCCAGCCGGATCTGGTCAAAAAGTGGAACCGTTGGGAAAAGGTGGGGTTAGGGGCGTGCGCCGTGCGCCATGCACGCAAGCCAGAGAACCAAACGCTCTACCGATCGACGAACTTCGGTTCATACGTTTCATACACAAAGCTGTCGGTTATGTATGCCGGTCGAGAACACATTCTTTGCGCTGTATTCCGCGTGTACGAGGAGGAGATAACGCGTCGACTTTGTGTTGGCACTTGGTACGTGTGAAGGTTCCCCGCCGCCGTTGCCGCCACTTGGCTGTGGCGTTTATTCGATCCAGGACCACATGCAGGATATGTTCCTGGGACGGCATTGCATAATAGACCAGGACGTCTGCGTGTCTCACGCATCTGCACGCTTTCACCTCGCCTCAATGATACCATCTTCTGCGAAAACGAACGAAGGAATCCATATCGGGGCGATCTCCGGCATGATGCAGCGACGGTTAGCCATATTCGCATCGGCTGCACCCATCTGTATTGATCACTGGCACCGAGACGTGGACGGATAGTTGCGCTTCGGCTTTGCTCCTGGACCCACACGAGATAGAGTACCGGCCGGGCGTACTCCGTTCAATGAGGCCAATGTCATCGAGCCACGAGTCTGACATCCTGACCATCCTGGGATCTGAACGGTGAAGAGACGCATAGAACATGGCGCGCAGAGTCGGCGACGTTCGGTATGCCGATGTCGCATACGAAGATGTGCAAGCGGACCGACACGGAAAGGGTCTGAATCCGGGTTGTTCATGTCTGGCTGAGGGATTTGTCAAAGATCATCAATCGTGAAGGTATCGTGGTCCGATACGCAAAGGAAGCATGAGAGGCCAGACCAGATGAATCTGGCGAGAAGCGGGCCGATATACCCACCGTGTGGGGAGTACGCCAGTGCCTGGAGCATCTTGGGATCTGAAGACGTACGTTCGGCCAAGTTTAGGCCGTTGACGTGATCAGGATCGACATGTTTAAACTGGCAGGAGATGGCTGGACGAGTATGACCCCGAAGCTTGCCTTAATCAATGTCGAAGGTCCGATGCGTGCGTACTTTCGCGTTCGCTTTGCCGCTGTGCCGTGGTTTTGTCAATCCGCGAAGCACCAGGGATAAAGCCAGTATAACGCTAATGGACGGCAGGCTAACCCCTGATTTATCCCCACCTTCAAATGTAAAAGCCATGAATCTCAGTAGATAGGGTGTCGTTCCGACGAGCACGGGCGACTCTTGATTGATTAGTGTGCGGCAGTATTAAGACTACTGCAGTGAGTTGTATCAATACCCATTGTTATGGTCATCAACATCATGTCTTTGTCATGGTCGTCTTATCCGCTGGCAGACCCTTCCATGAGAATGATGCCTGATGTCCTCTTGCGCGCGATGTGGCCGGTGAGTAGTTCTGCAGGACTAGAAGCCGACGGGAAAAGCATGAGAGCAAGCCGCATCGGCACTTGCAGAGTAGACCGATCAGACAGGATGATTTGGGTCGAAACGACCCGCTACCATGACGTGCAGTATTTGACCGGTGCGGGAAGATCGCTTGGTGGACGAAAGACCTGGGGTAAAGGCCTAGAGCTGACTGCAGTAGTTGCTTCTTGCGGTCTTCTCCGGGAGAAGTCTGTCGGCAACCGCGGAGGCGAGGTATATTCGCACTGCAGGATATACTCGCAGTACGTTGAGGTGTGTCCGCAGTTAACCCCAGCGTGAAAGTTTCGACAGCCAGCATACGAGAGGACCTATCATGGCCCACGTTAAGATGCCAGATCCGTAAGGCCTCATTGCAATTCGCGCAGGCCTAATCAGTATGGAGGGTATGATGTATGCGAGAGCTGCAGATTTTCTCGTCATTGGCTCTTGATGAGTCGCTGAAATCGCCGAGCCTGAGCGTAAAGTGAATGGCTTTGCTCTCGCAGCCCAGCGTTCACTGAGATCGAGCAGCAACACGGCGATCTTCGCAACCAAAGCTCTGGATGATTCCTGAAACGTCACCGTGTCCTCATCACCATCACTCTTGTCTCTTCCACTGTCATTTATTAGATGAATGAGTGATGGTTGCTGGGCCGGCTTCGTTCTTGTGACTGTGATGATTAATCGGACTGGACCATTGGACGCAAGTAAAGTGTGATGAGCAATAGTGTAGCGGCTACGAATTGTACTGTAGTGCTGGAGAGAGAAGCAGGATGCGGAGCAGGTATCTAGGGCGCAGTAGAAACTCTGTATGAATGGAATCGTGTATCGAGTGTGCGTGCCCATTGGACATATGGGGCTACTGCGGTACCTATGAGACCCCCTCCATGTTCTTCGCCACTGCCACCAGCGATATAATGCGCTTCTCGCGGCGCGGGCCATGTATACCACTCGCTTGCTCGCTTCAGAATAACGAAATTTGAACGTGCGGTGTGAATCTGCCGGGCCAGGGTGGACGGCAT